CAGCAGAAGAACAGAAAGTATGTACTTTAGACCAAGCTGGTCAAATTTTAGCCATTTTAAAATGTACAGTTCAGTAGCATTAAGTATATCCACATATTGCACAACCATCACCACAGTCTATCCATGGAACTTTTTTCATTTTTCAAAACTGAAACTCTGTACTCATTAAACAGTAACTCCCCATGTCCCCCTACCCGCTTCCCACAGGCCACCACCATTTCACTTTCCGTCTCTGAATCTGACTACTTTAAGTACCTCATATTAATGGAATCGTATAGTATTTGTCCTTTTGTTACTGGCATATCTCACTTATCAAATGTCTTCAGTGTGCACTCATGTTGTAGCATGTGTCTGAATATCTTTCCTTATTAAGGCGAAATAATATTCCATTGTATGTACATACCCCATTTTAAAAATCCATTTATTTGTTAATAGACACACACTTGCGTTGCTTCCACTTTTTGGCTGTTATGAATAATGCTGCTATTAGCGTGGATGTACAGATAGATATCTCTTTATGTACCTGCTTTCTTTTGGGCATATATCCAGAAGTGGAATTGCTGGATCATATTGTATTACATTTTTAAAACCTGAAAAATCCTGCATTCCAAAATACATCTAGTCCCAACGTTTTGGGTAAAGGATTGTGAAACTGCATTAGGCAAATACAGCTAAACTTTTAGCTCACTTCTTATGTAGTTACATATGAATTATATTTAATGAGATGTGTGAACATGTCAATATCCTTGATATGACGTCTGGGGGGGCTTGCAAAATAAAGTCTTAAATGGCCTTGTCTTTCTATAACAGCTTCCTAACTAGCTTGTATCCTAACTCTACCACTTACTAACTGTGTGATCTTGAGAAAGTTATATAAGGTTTCTGTGTCTCAGTTTTCTCATTAGTAAAATGAGGATAATGATAATATGCAAAACTATATAAGTTGCTGATAGTATACACCAAGAGTTGTTAGGAGTAGCCAATATATTAATATCTATTAATATTTAGAATAGTGCCTACTTACACATAGGTAGCACTATATATTTATTTGTTAAATAAATAGAATGGTTAGGTGGACTTAGGTGAGTTACTTGCCCAGCTTGTCCTATTTCCTCTCCAAAATGATGGTTTTCACTAGATGGTATGTGATAGTTCTAATTTCATAGGATTCTATATTTCTTTCTGCACATTTACAATCTTACTATAATTCTTTTGATCTAGCACATAATAGTCCTCTATCAGCTAAGAGAAGGTATCAAATAATTCTGGCAATGAAAACAGGGTGAGAATTGTTTCCCCAAGTGGGGTGAGTCATCTATATACAGTTTTCTTCAGGAACCAAAGGCTGCAGAGAAAGAGATCTATACCTTACTGCTGCTGCTTTTAAACAAGCACCAAATTCACATTCATGTCTAGAATGGGAAGCATTTTCAGGAGGACAAATGTGTCTCTCTGTGTCTCCTCCCCAGACCGCAAGTTACCATCGACCTGGCCACCAGTGGGAAGGCTCACTGAACTCACCGGGGCTCCGGGGCTCATAGACTTGAGATCCATGGGTTGGAGATCCAAGGGCAGCAGCAAGGATGAGGAAGGAGAGTGCAGCTGTAGAGATCTTCATCTTTTACATGTGCAGACAGAGCTGGCCTGAGGACTCCTGGGCTCTCTGCTCCCTGACTCTCTGGGACCCTAGCTCTGCCCTTGTATTTATAAGAAAAGGAAGATCAGGAAGTCACAGGGCAGAGGTCAGAATGCTGTTTTTTGGCTATATAATCGAAAACATGTTATTTTTAAAAAAGGGAAGAAGGCTGAGGATGCAACAGGAAGTAGAAGGCAGTGATGACTTGGGCCTTTCCCAACTGCCCAATGGATACAGGCAAAAGAGTGTCAAAATTTATGGCAGAGTCCTTAGCCAAGACAGGAATTGGGAGACCCTGTGGTAGGAACTCTCGCATGCTATGTGGGTCGTGAAAGCCCTACAGGAAGAACTGTATGTTTATAACAAAGCTCTATGATTAAAACGGCCCCTCCTCTTAACTACTTCTCCTCTGTAAAAGAATTACCTTCTTCTTCTTGCACTCTCTTTGTAACCGTCAACTCTGCAGGTACTGGATTGCAATCCCTTTTCCCCAAATAAATCCTTTTCGTGGAAGGAATACCTAGCTGACTTTTTGTTTATGGTTGACAAGAGTGACTATTATGTTTGACAAGACTGACTATTTTATTAAGGATCCTTCCTCTAGGTGATTCACTTAATCCTCTAAATCAGCGTTTTTTCTTTAGGAGTTAACCACCTTCAAGTGCACAAAAAGCCTATGATCAGATGTGACCACCAGATGGAACGCTCTAGCATGTAAACCTGGTCCTGTGATTCCTCACATAGAATCTTTTTTTTTCCCTCACATAGAATCTTGATCCTCGACCCCTATCTTTGTTCCACACCCCATATCCTATCCTTTATTAAATAATGTTGGCTCTACTTTCAAAAATATATCCAGAATATTATTATTCCTCACCACCTCTACTCTCTCCGACCTGGTCCAAACCACCCTGGTCTCTCATTGGGATTCTTGCAAAAGCCTCTAACTTGTCTCCTTATTTTGCTCTTGCCTCTCTTCAGTTCATTCTCCACATTGTAGACATAGTGATCCTGTTAAAAAGAAACCAGATCAAGTCGATCCTGTTTGAAGCCCTCTAGAATGGCTTTTTAATTCCACTCAATGTAAAACCCAATCCTTTTAATAAATTGCAAGCCCCTTTGTGATCTGGTGCCTGTTTGCTCTCCGTCTTCATGTTCTACTTGTCTCCTCACTCATTCTCCTTCAGTTAAACAGGCAGACTCAGAGATTTCTGTTCCCTCTGCTTGGACCACTCTTCCCTCAAATATCTATCTGCATTACTTTCTTCCTAACCTCCTTCAGATCTTTACTCAAATTATATTTTCATTAAGTCTTTCTGGGACACTATCTAAAATTATAAACTTTCCCTGTCCAAATTTCTCTTTTTTCTCTCCTGGACACTTAATACTATCTAAGATACCGTATATTTTACTTCTAAATCTTTTAATTTCTGTCTGTTCTTCTAGAACATAAACTTCATGAGAGCAGGGATTTTTGTATCTTTGTTCACTGTTGTTTCTCTAGTGATGGCATAGTCTAGGTTCCTCTGAAAGCAGATCATGAGAACAATTGGGTGAGGCTCGATAATTTGGGAAGTATTTGCAGGACTCATTGTGGGGGTCAGTGCTTGATTCTGCTGGGATTTTTCGAAGAACCTTATGAATGCATCCCAGAATATTTTGCCTGAGGGAAGAAAGAGAAACCATTTATCTCTTTGCTTTCATCCCTGTGGCAGTTTAAAAAATATGGCCACAAATTCTTTGACACTCTTCTCTTCAAACAGTGGGGTATATGTTCTCTCCCCTTGAAATAGAGAGGGCTTGTGACTATTGCTCAATCAATAAAGTTTGTCAGGTGACCTCTAAGGCAAGGTTGTGAAAAGCCACAGTGCTTCAACCTTGATCACTGGAACACTCACTGTTGGAGCCCTGAGCCTTCAAAAACCCTGAGCTTGAGGCTGCCATGCTGTAAAGAAGCCCAAACCACATACAGGTGTTCTGGTGGACAATCCCAAATCATTGTAGCCTTCACGTCATCCTAGCCTAGGTGCCAGACAAGAGAGTGAAGATCTGCACTTTTTAATATAGCAACTACCCTGCACATGTGGCTACTGAAGCACTTTAAATGGGGCTTGTCTAAATTGAGATACTCTGAAAGTACAAACTACATGCTGGATTTCAAAGATTTAGTACCTCCTCAATGTAACATATCTTAATAAATTTTTATACTGATTACATGATGAAATAACAGTATTTTGGATATATTGTGTTAAAGAAAATATACTATTAAAATTAATTTCATCTGTTTTTTTACCTTTTTAATATGTCCACTAGCAGATTCAAAATTACATGTGACTTTCATTATATTTCTATTGGACAGCACTGTTCTAGATGATTCCGCATCCATCGGAGTCGCTTCTTACTATTTGTGTCTTCTCAGCTGAGGCCCCAGGCATCATGGAGCAGAGATAAGCCCCCTGCTGTGCCCTGTGTGAATTTCTGACCCATAGAGTTTGTGAGTAGAATAAAATACTTGTCATTGTATACCATTAAGCTTTGGGTGGTTTGTTACACAACAGTAGATCATGGGAACAACTCTTCATTGGCTATAGTGGATCATGGATATTAATTTCCTCACACTTCTGGTTTGCTCATGCAGGTATGTTGTATTCTTGTAGGTGTTCCTGATCTCAGGATCAGAGAAGCCCCAAGACAGGAAGCTAGAGTTATGAAGTATAGGCTGAGGCAAGACACTTGCATGAAGCTTATGTAAATCTAAGATAAGCGATGACTGAGCAGTGGCTGAGGTAAGGGGTGGGGTCAAAAGGATGTGAAATAGTACATAATACAGTCCACGCCTTGCTTCCCTCCAATGTTTGTTCCTTTATTATGTCTAAAATCATTACAAAGCCTCCTTCAGATGGTTGTATTCATTATTTCAGGTTTAGTGGAACCTATATTGTGTCCACATACTAGTGCATCTCCACCATCTCCATCCTCCTCAGGAATCCAGCAGAGCCTAATTTAATCTAATCCAGCCAAGCCTAATGTTGCAGGGATAGAAACCACACATAGATCACTGGGAATCATGAAGAAAGGGCCAATCCTACATCAACTCCTTGGTTCCTGTGTATTCTAGCTATTGGGGACGTAGCACCATATATTGGCTTTTAGTTCAGTACATATTCTGCATTCTGGAGAGGTCCTAATCCTAAAGTTTGTTGTCCACTTAGCTAAATTTTTAACACCCCACCATTCTCTTGGTCTGGCAGTTGCTGGGTGATTAAGCATATGGTAATTCCAGTGGATCCTATATGCCCACTGACACATCATTTGCTATGAAATGGATCCCTTTGCCTGGGACAATGTTGTACAAAAACCATACTCTCTGATCAGACATTTTGTAAGT